CAAAGGTTTCTCAAGATATAAATTAATCAAACATATTTACGATAACGTAAAATTAAGAAATAAAAGGTCCCATATATCTTAGCAATTTCTAAAGACTGTATTTTATAGTCATTTAGTCGTCCAACACCACCGACTGCCAAGTGATGGATCATTAGCACGACTTCAGTGAATGGGGCTACTGTGCTGCTGCCTTTGAAAATGTGAGGAGGCACCTACCCACAGCACTGTTCAACAGGCTGCTCTGTCTGAGGAAGTCCCCTGACACCTTTCCCACGCCATCAGCTTGTGTTCTCCCCTCGCTGGTCCTTCTCTGCACTCTCCCCTTGTCTGAGCTGTAAATCTCATGCTGCTGTGTGGTCTTTGTTCTCTGCTATGTCCATTTTCTGTCCCAGAGCATACCCAGACGCCCACTGGCCCCAGTGGCCTGTCTTCCTTGCGTATGCAAGTCCACAAGCTGCCACCTTCCCAGCTTTCTTAGTCTTTGTCTTTGCTGCCTCACAGGATAACCATTTTCCCCTCAAAGTTGTGAGGGCAAGCCAGACTCTGTCCCCAGAGCCTATTCTGCTCAAACAATCCATCCCTCAAAAACTCCCCTGGGGAATCGACTGGTCTTTTGCCTTGCTTCCTTCCAGTTCAAATACTGCCGTGTGCCCTGCCACAAGGGAGGCATTTGGAGACCCTGGGCACAGCGTTGGCTGTGCCTCCTACCCATCCGCTCACCCCTCTGGCCCTTCCTACTGGGGAGCAGCTCGATTCCTGCTGCTCATCGTGGGATAGGTTGGGATGGGAAAGAGATAGATCAGCAAGACCCCACGTCCCACATGTATCACTTTTTGTGCAGCCACAGGAGACCTGCCGGGATCACTACACCCAAGTATTTTGTTCTAGGACATGGGCAGTACTCCTTAAAACAAGAAAACCAGACTGCCAGATCTCTCCCCTCTGGCATGCAGAGAGAACGCTTCCCCTGCTATCGAGCTGCTGCTGAGGCCAGGCAGCACCAGCCTCGTAGAAGCCTGAGCAGGAGCAGGCACTTTGCTCTTCCCATTTGCTTGGGGATGGAGCAGAGGCAGGGTAGGGAAAGCGGGGTTACCTCCTGCAGGGAAGCTTGGAGGCCCGTTCAGACAGCGCTATTACTCTGTCCTCCCTGCGCCACTCAGGGATTGCACACGCGCCATCTCAGCACGCAGAGGCTGAGCTTCCTCTCATACTGAAGGTTGTGTCTTTTCCCCTCTCCAGCTGATCCCACACTACATTTGCTGCAACCGCTGGCAGCTCTCTGGCTCCCAGTCACCCTGCCATGCTCTGCGGGCTGCAGCAGGATCTACCATGGGGCAGGCTGGCAGCGTGGAACGGGAAAGGCTGAAGTGGAGATTTATCTCACTCCCCCTTCTAAGCATGGGCATAAGCATCCAGATCCAGGGGGATGGATGTTATACAATAGTCTAATGTGCCAATAGTTAAAAACAGATATTGATCTTTCATGTCCTCCAAAGGACAAGAAACAAACTGCAAATCAAAATGTGTAAATAAGCAAAGTAAAAACTATCATCAAAAGAATTCACTCATCCTTGGAGCGTACAATAGGATGGGGAAAAAAAAAAAATAAAGGCTGTCGCTCCAGTTTATGCAAAATGAATATCCAGAAGCAAATCGGCATTAGCACACTACAATATAGGATAACAACTGTCTTTTTCTGTTGAGAGAATGATTATTTACTGCTTAGTCATAAATCCAGACTTGTAAAACTGTCATGAAAATTTACATGTGCAAGCTTACCACTTTCTTCCCCAACCTTGCAAGGACCGTAAAGTAGAAACAGAACACCCTAGCAATAGTCTAGTTTTCAATGAAAAAAATACACATGCCCAGGAAATGTAAAGTTTTTCATATCTTCTGTAAATGCAGATGACTCTTTGTAAATATATACAGAAAAGTAGCATAGTTGCCCTGAAGACCAAGTCTAAGTAACAATATATTAGTTCAAGGACAATTAAAAAAAAAATGTTGGAAATGAGTTTGAGGAAGAACAGCAAATGCTCTCTGTGCACAAAACAGGACTCTGCCTCTCCCTCAAGTTGCTGAAGTCCAAACTCGCAGCCTGGCAGGGAAAGAAGAGAGCTCATAGTGGGAGAGTGAGGGACAGCTGAGACAGAGGACAACTGACACCTTCTACCCCATCACAGAGAACCCATGGTAATGAACCCATGACAAAGGCACATCGTTAAGCCAGGCAGGATGCGCTAGGATTTTCCAGGACGTTTCTCCCCAGTAAAAACAACCTAAAATAGGGAATTTGGGGGGGAACAAAGCTTTATTTCAGCAAATGCTTTTTAAAATCAAAGTCTAATCCAACCAGAAGTCTATTGTCATTAATTATTTCATACACGTGTCTTCTGTTTCAGGTTAATTTTTTTTTTCTCTAATCATTGCCATTTGGTTACAGGAACCTAGTGCTGTGGAAACCATTCCTCTGCAGCAATGGTTCACGGCAAGGCTCATCATGCAGCACAGCTGAAAATATGTTTCCTCTGTTGGTAAAGTCTCTAGCATTTATCTGTGACACTGAAGGGAAAAAAACAAACAAACAAAAAGCCACCGAAGACAGCCTCCATGTACTGACTTCTCATGCAGAGCACCAGCAACCTGCTCTCCCCCACCAGCCACGCACTACGGCTATCAGGCTGAAAAAAATTGTAGGTGAGCCCAAGGCAATAACCCTCCAAAGCCAAAGAGAAAGCTCGTATTTGAAGGAGACCAGTAATATTGAGCGACCTGCCCTGTGGGCAAAGACAAGGAAGGCGGCTGTCAAAAAAATCCATGGACCACCCAACAACCCCCTGCTGTAACGTGACGGTACTTTATCTGTCATGAAGGCTGTCAGCAAAAAGTTAAGCCCAGAAAATATTTTGTGCACACTTAAATACAAAAGTGAGTTGAGATCAGCAAAGCGCTTGCCTAATCTGGCTGCAGAAGCCCCATAGCCTGACCGATCAGTAACTAATAAGCTTTGAGTACTCAATATACGCTCTAAGTGGCAGCCAACTAGGAACAGAGCTCTAGACCGAAATTAATAACATCAAAAGCAAATTAAGGATAAAAGCCACTGAACGTTATCTCTGTTCTTCCCTCACCTGTTACATGACCTGATTTTCCTTTCAAAAACAGCAAGAAAGGACTCGTTTTAGGCAGCGACAGCCTCTTTCACCCCCTCACGCAAGGAAGTGTTGTACATCACGCCTGTGGCGCTGAAATGTAAAAAGCTTTCCCGTTTTTAGGCGCTGTGCTGCAGACTCCTCTATACAAAAAAGCCACAGGAGTCGATGTTTTCAAAGGGGATGAACTCCTGTAGCCCGCAATGGCTTCAGCGCTCCTACAGATCAATGGATGTCCGACCCACGGGCAACCACTGCCTCAACAAGTTTTTCATGTGGGGTTTTTTCTTCCCCCTCCCTTCCTCGAACAGCATTCGCTACCGGTAGTATACCGGTACCACCTTCCCTTTATTCCCCGCTACAAGGCTCTTGGGCCCTATGGCTGCACCCGCACGGAAAAGCGGAATTCCCTGACAAACGCCCACAGAAGCGCCGCCTGGATGAACCACAGGCGGATCAACCGGCACAGCTGCGCACGGCC